TGACCTGGTAGGAATACCACTTCGATTCCGAATGATGCAAAATGTCATTGTAGCAGATATTGAAAAGGCATATTTACAACTAGAATTATGCCCCTTAGAAAGGAACTGCACTCGATTTCTTTGGTCAAAAGATGTCCGAGGACAGGTAATAGAAGATAATATAGAACATTACCGTTTCTAGTGAATTTCATTCGGAATAATCTCCTCACCCTTTTTATTATCTGTTACACTTAGCCATCATTTGGAGAACTACGGAAGTGAACTTGCGATTGAGATCAGCAAGAATGTATATGTGGACAATGTCATCGTGCAAGCTCAGGATTCCAAAAAAGCTCTTACAAAATATGAAAAAATGAAGTCCATATTTAAAGATGTTTCAATGAATATTAGGGAATTCCTATCCAACGATAAGGAATTCATTGCCAAGATTCCAGAAGAAGACCGAGCCGAAACAACTCAAATAAAGAAGATTCTTGGCATTAATTGGAATTCTAGAAGTGATATTGTCCAAGTAAATGGAAATTACCTTGAGACCTAGACAAAGAATCAACAAAACGAACGATTCTACAACTTTTAGCCTCGCAGCACCATCCATTAGGATTTTTGACGCCATGCATCGTACTAATAAAGCTCTTCCTGCAAAACCTATGGCGGAAAAAGGTGGTTGGATGAACCATTGAGTGATGAAGACAATGAAAGATGGGACGATATTGTATTCTTTTATGGCTAGCATACATGAAAGAATTTCCGCGTTTGGCACTCAATCCAACCGAATCAGTGGCAATTCATGTATTCACTGATGCTTCTGCAGTCGCTTATGCCGCGGCTGTATACAAAAAGCAGAGAAAGAAAATATCATTGATATATGCGAAGTTAAGAATCGCACCCATCAAAGGGATGACCATACCAAAATTGGAATTAATGGCTGCACTCATTGGCACACGTGCAGCTCAATTCGTCGTCAAGCAACTAGAAATTGATGACGCAAAGGTAATCTTGTGGTTAGATTCTCAATGCGTTTTGCATTGGATTAAAAACCAAAAATTTCGGCTTCTGCTAAAATTCGTGCAAAATTGCATCGATGAAATACGGAAAGCCAAATTCTCATATCGGTACATTTCAAGTGACAATAACCCGGCCGATGTGGCTATACGAGGATTATATCCTCACAAATTGGGAATATTTGAACCATGGTAGAAAGGACCAAGATGGCTTAAAAAGGGTGAATGAAAATGGCCATACTGGGAATACAATACAAATGAGAAATGTTACGATTGCGAAGGTAATCAAGAAAACGAGAGAATTTTGGCACTCGCAATTCAACAAAATATCAACAAGACAAAAGTCAAAATTTGGATGCGAGTCGATTTAGCAAGTTATCAAGATTGATTAGAACAACTGCACGGGCGTAAAGCAAAAGGAAAATTTCCCTGGTTCCCAGTAATTGAAACCAACAGAATTACCTTAGAAGATTATGAAACGGCTTTAGAGCTACTAATCAGCCAAGCACAATCAGAAGGGATATCAGTGGAAGAAATAGAAAAATGGAATTTATTCTATAGGCAAGGATTGTGGAGAGTCAAAAGTCGAGTAGAGAGTTCGAAAGAGGATTTTAATTTATATCGTGCCTATCTTCCTCGACACCATCGCATAACCGAACTCTTCATACAAGAAAAGCATGAAGAGATGTATCATGCAGGTGTCGCCCACACGATAGCAAGGTTGAGGAAAAGCTTTGGATACCAAAAGGAAGAGGCGAAGTAAAACGAGTATTGAATAAATGCATGCATTGTAAGCGGTGGAAGGCGAAACCGTTTAAACTGCCAACAATGCCTAAATATCCAGTGACTCGAGTAACACGTTCTCGAATATTTGCTCGAGTGGGTCTGGATATTTGGGTCCCATCTCTATCAAAACTGAGATGGGACTGGCAAAACGACGTCGCCTTATTCACTTGCTGTACTGCCAGAGCCATGTATTTGGAAATGGCAGATAATCTATCTACCGAAAGTTTCTTAAATGTGCTCGGAAGATTCGTAGCCCGGCGCGGTTATCCGGAATTGATTCT